TTTTTCCCAGGCCGGGAGCGCCCTCAAAAAGCTCCGGGAGGATTTGAGCACCAAACTCCAGACCCGGACGGAATTCCAGGAATTTCAGGAATTCCAGGAATTCCGGGAATTTCGGGAATTCCGGGAATTCCAGGAGCACTCGGAGGTACAAAATTCGGAATTTACCCCCAAAAAATTGGGAATTTCCCCTGGAAAATCCATCCCAGAGGGGGATTTTTGGGGTGGAAAACCGGGAAAAATTCCCAATTTTTGGAGTGGAAATTCCCAATTTTTTGGGGTGGAAAAAGGGAAATTTGGGATTCCCCAGAGGAATTTGGGATGATCCCGGATTTTTTTTCGGTCGTTCCTTTGCTGAAATTCCCGGGTTTTGCCCCGAAATTGGGAAAAGGGAGAAGATCCTGGGAAAAATGGGGAAAAAAATCCATTGAAATTGGAAAAAATGGAAAAAAATCCATTGAAATTGGGAAAAATGGGAAAAAAAATCCATTGAAATTTGGGAATAAATGGATTTAAAATGGGAAAAAGGGGAGATGAATGGATTTAAATTTGGGAAAAGGGAGCAAATCCTTGGATTTAAAGAAACAGGGAAAAATGGGAATAAATCCATGGAAATTTGGGAATAAATCCATGGAAATTTGGGAATAAATCCATTAAAATTGGGAATAAATCCATTAAAATTAATTGGGAATAAATCCATTGAAATTTGGGAATAAATCCCTTGAAATTTTGGATTAAATCCATTTAATTTGCGAATAAATCCATGTAAATTTGGAAAAGGCGGGGGGGCCCATCCCAGGAATTTAAAAAATTTTGGGAATAAATCCCAATTTTGGTTTTTTTTGCCCCAATTTCAGGTTTTTCTGGAGAAGCAAAACGGGAACTGCTCCTGCCCCGAGCGGCTCCGGGGAAATTCCCACCAGGATCCGGTAGGAAACGGAAAATCCCCATTTTCCAACCCCCAAAAAATTCCAAAATTCGGGAATATTTTGCTTCCAATCGGGAATTTTTCCCTGTTTTCATTGCGATTTTGAGCAGAAAATTCCAGGTTTTGTCGGGAACGGGGTGGGAGAGGGAAGAGGCTCCGTTTTTTCCCATAAAACTCGGAATTTTTGGGAATTTGCAAAAATTTTTGGGATGAATTCCAAGGGAATTTTAGGGGGAAAAAAACGGGAATTTGGGGTGGATTTTTGGTGGGGAAAAATGGTGGAATTCTTGAGGGAATTTTTGGGATAATTTGGGACGGGATTTTGAGGGAAATTGTGGAATTTTTGGTGGTGGAAAAGAAGTTTTGGGACAATTTTGGAAATTCATGGAATTTTCGAGGGCGGGAAAGGATTTTTGGGATATTTTGGGGTGGAATTTTGGGAATTTTGGGGTTGTTCCCGCAGGAGGACGAGGACGCGGCCCCGAAGCTCCTCCAGAGGCTCCAGGAGGCGGAAAAACGGCACCAATTGGAGAGGAAATCCTGGGAGGTGAATTCTCCACCCAAAAATCGGGAATTCCGCCCAAAATTCGGGAATTCTGCCCAAAATTCGGGAATTTGGCCCAAAATTCGGGAATTCGGAGGGAATTTGTCCAAATTCTGGGATTTTCCAGGGTGATTTTGTCCCAATTTGGGAATTTTTTGGGGAGATTTTGTCCCAATTTGGGAATTTTTTGGGGAGATTTTGTCCCAATTTGGGAATTTTGTCCCTATTTGGGATTTTTTTTATGGGGGGAAATTGTATCCCAAATTAGGAATTTTTTTGAGGGTGTTTGGATTTTGTCCCAACAACATTTGTGAATTTTGCGGGAATCTTGTCCCAATTTGGGAATTTTTGCCAGGAATTTTGTCCCAGTTCGTGAATTTTTTGGTGGGAATTCTCTCCCAACTCGCGTGCTTTTTTTGTTGGGTTTCCCTCCCGATTTTCCGAGGGCTCTGCCCTGAAACCCCTCAATCCCAAATCCCCCAAAATCCCC